TTCTAAGTATAGGATCTTTGTTTCAGCAAGGAAGGATAATTTGACTCCTTTCTTTCCACTTTGTATGCCATTTATTTCTTTCTCTGTTCTAATTACTCTGGCTAGGATTTCCAGCGCTATGCTGAGTAAGAGTGGTAAAAATGGTCATTCTTGTCTGGTTCCAGATTCTAGCGAAAGGCTTTTAATTTTTCCCTAATCAGTATAATGTTAGCTGTGGGCTTGTCATATGTGATCTTTATTGTGTTGAGGCATGTTTCTTCTACACACAATTTATTGAGGGTTTTTATTATAAAGTGATGGTGAATTTTGTTAAATGTTTTTTCAGCATTTATTGAAATAATCATATGGTTTCATCCTTGATTCTTTTCATGTATTTATTGATTTGTGGGTGTGGAACCACTTTTTCATCCTTGGGATTAATTCCACTTAATATGGTGAATGTTCTTTTTAATGTGTTATTGAGTTTGGTTTGCTAGTATTTTGTTGACAATTTTAAAATCTATATTCATCAGGGATATTGGCTTTTAGTTTTGTTGTTGCTGTTTATTTGTCTGGTTTTGATATCAGGGTAATGTTGATCTTGTAGAATGAGTTTGTAACTATTCTCTCCTCTTCAATTTTTAAAAATAGTGTGAGTAGAATTGGTATTACTCTTTCCTTAAATATCTGGCAGAATTCAGCAATGAAGCCATCAGGTCTTGGGTTTTCTTTAATTGGATACTTTTTACTATTGCTTCAATCTTGTTACTCATTATTGGTTTTTTGAGGTTTTTGAGGTTTTCTTTTTCTTCATGGATCAATCCTGGCAGGTTGTATGTGACCAGACATTTTTTAATTAGGTATTTAAATTGGTTGGTATATAGATGTTCATGACAGTTCCTCATGATTCTTTGTATTTCATTGTTATTAGTTGTAATATTTATTTCTCATTTATGATTTTATTTATTGGAATCTTCTCTCTTCGATCTAAAGACTTGAAAATATTAAAAATATTAAATTAATAACTACAATAAGTTGTTAACTGACAGATAATATAAAAGATGTAAATTATTATATCCAAGAGTCAAACTGTGAGAAGAGAGGTGGGAGGATTGACTGAGCCCAGGAGTTCAAAGCTGTGGTGAGCAGTGATTATGCCTCTGCACTCCAGCCTGGGCATCAGAGTGAGACTCTAATGCACACCCACCCACACAGGACAAAATTAACTGAAACCTTGGGACAAGCGTATATAAGATTGTCTGTAGAGAGATAGAAATATGTCTGTGTCTCTAGCTAGGTCTTAGGTCCACTGAGATGTCCTTAACAAGATGAACGATCCACCCTTAGGGGCCAGGACCTGAATACTTGCCACATGAACAGAGAAAACAAAGAAATTATATGTGATGGATTAGGGAATCTAAAAGAAAGGGTATTTCAACCACATCTCCTCATATAGTAGTTTCTATAGATGGAGAGAAATTTATATTTTCCTACAAAGTAGGATGACTACTTCAGATCTGTAATGTAACTAAACTATATTAATTATTTGAGGAAATTACCCAATTTTTTAACCACAGAGTCCAACCAAGTTATATTACATCTCTAGATTCATATCTATACTAAGATTTAGTCGTGCTCTCTCTCTCTCTCTCTATATATATATAGAGAGAGCACAATATAGTCCAATATATAATCAGTATAATCTCTCTGTGTATATCAATATATATGGCTAACTTTGTGCCTTTGCAAAAATTTTATTTGTATCTTTAAAATTTTCTTTTTTTAAGAGACATTACAGAAGACCCAAGCTGCCCTAATGATAAGGAATATAGATATATCTCTGAATTATATCATATGAATCAAAGTGGTAATTATTATATAGGAAAATGAAATATCAGCATTTATAGAGGGAGTCTGTTGACATAGCAGCAGCTTGAAGAATTTCAGTTGTAATAAGGTGGTTGACTCAGGATCTCTTTTACTTTTTCCATATTAAATGGATCTGATTAGAGAGATAATTAATTCCACTATGGTGAAAAATAGGAGTATGTTATAAAGTCACCTACTCTGACAGAGTATGATCAGAATTCAAAACTACTGCTCACATGAGACTCATCAAACAGAATATTATTAACACTTTGATACACTGTCACTCCATGATAAAATAAAAACTTGATAGAAAATGAATTAATGGTCAGGCTTGGTGGCTCAGCCTATAATCCCAACACTTTGGGAGGCTGAGGCAAGGGGATTGCCTGAACCTGTGAGTTCGAGACCAGCTTGGGTAACTTGGTGAGACCTTGTCTCTATAATAAATAAAAAATTAGCCAGATGTGGTAGTGCATGACTGTAGTTCCAGCCAGGTGTGGTAGTGCACGCCTGTAGAGCCCAGCAGGTCATTGCTGGGGTGACCTTGAGCATGCCACTGCACTCCAGCCTGGGCAAAAGAGTGAGACTCCAACTCAAAAAAGAACAAAAACCAAAAAAGAATTAATGATTTTACTTTGCTTATTTACATTGGCAATTAAGGGGTTAAAACATTGCTAAGTGCCAAAATGGAAGGGTGTAAGGGTAAACAATAAATGTGCTTTCTCGGCTTGAACTTTTATGTCCCCCAATTTTCTCCAGAATTGTTTCTTCTTTTTACTTTTCCTCTTATCTTAAAGTTTCCCTGAGATTCACTTCAAGGTGAGAATGTGACCTGCTGCTATGGCTGCTGTAACAAAGTATCACAAGCCAGTTTACTTAAACAGATGAAATTTGTCTCACATTTCCTCAAGGTGTTGGCAGAATTGGTTCTTTCAGAGGGCTGTGAGAGAAATGTGTTCTGTGCCTCCTTTCTGGCTTCAGGTTACCTCAGGTGTTTCTTGGCTTATAGATGGACATCTTCTCTCTGTGACTTTACATTGTCAATTATTACCTTTCAATTTTATATTTTGGATTCATTATGAATTTAAATTGGCAATTGAAGGCAAAAAGTTTCAAGTCTCAAGAAGGAAGAGGATAAAGGTATTTTCTCAGCCTAAGTACCTGTCCCTTATGATAGGTCCTCCAGAGTTCTTTTCTTCCTCTTCTCTTCATCTCTCCTTACCACAATGTCTCTTTGAGAAACACTTTTAGGGTGGGAATGGGACCAAAAGCCTACCTGTGAATTTATTTAATCAATTCCAATTTTTACAATTGTTAAAGTAGAAAATTATGTGTTGGAAATTGCTGTCTTTAGGGCACATGGGTGAAGGAAAGTCTTACAGCAATTACTATATTTTTATAGTAAATCAGGATTCTGGGACTTTCTTTTTTGGGGAAGAGGTGACTTTCAAACCAGATTTATTTGTTTCTCAGACAAATTTTGTATTTTTCATCTGGGAATAAAAGCTATTACTATGCAAAACTTGAGACACACACATAACATACATTTTTATAGCTATGTTTGTGCACTTTTCAGTTCATAACGATTTCACTGATTTTACTTTTATTTTTCACAGCAGTAACAAAAATTTCTGACAACATTTTTGAAAGAATAAGTGAACAATAGTGATCACTGGTCATTTATCTTTCCGGACAGTAGAAAATCAGCAGAGAAGCATATGTTCAATTAGTGCTGAATAAAAATATTTTGCTTAGCTAAAACAAAGCAGAGACTGCTTCTGATTAATGGTAAGAAGAGAACATTTAATAGTTATATAAATTTGCATAAGCCACCAAATCTTATTGAGAATTAATCATTTTACCTGTAAAATGGAGATATTTTATCCTGCTTACACTTTTATAACTTTAAATATTAAAAGTAACAGTTATTAATATTTATATTTTCAATAATATAACAACTTTCACAAGGTAGATTCTATCTAAGATACAATGAAGGATAAATAGAAACACAAAAGGGGAGGATTTTAATATACCTTTTCAGATTCAAGACAGATCAAATAGGCAAAAAATTGTATGAATAAAAAGATCTAAACTAGAATCAATAATGTAGATAACATAAATATGCATCAAACCATATACCATATTAAAACATCATTTTTTGAAATTCCCATAGAACTTCACAAATACTTGCCATGTGTTAGGTTACAACCTAATATATATATACAGGTAGAAATTAGGGTAGAGAGGACAAAGATATCAACTAGACATCTCTGACTAGTCATAGTTTTATAGATAGATTGATTTTTAAAATCAGATAAATATCTTACATAATTATAAAATAAAATTAAAATTTTAAAGCAATGTTTAAAAATTGAAAGAAAAATGAATAAATGAATCTAGCCCTATATGTAGTTTGTAATGTGTGTATGATAAAGATAAAACAACTGAGTAGAATGATGCCATCATGAACTGGGATATTTGGTGAGGGGGAGGAAGAGGAAAAAGTATTACTGATGTCAGTAGATGGCTACATAAGGAATCATTATCTAAAACTGTATGGAGAGTGCTCTCAGGGAGACCAGTTAATAAACTGCTATAGTAAGTATTCAGGGCAGAGATGATGGTAACTTGGACCAGAGTGGAATATTTGAGTGCTGAGAACTGATAGCATCTGGGTTATGTTCAGTGGAGATAGAGGATATTCAGAAAAACAGACCAACAAAATAGAAATTGCTGATAGATTGGATGTTAGATGTGAAAGAAAGGAAAGAATCTTAGATGATGCATTCCTAGGATTTTGGCCTGAGTATATAGCGTCACTTCTCCTCATGACTATTAATTTCAGTGTCTGTTCTACATTTTTGTTTGTTTCTTAATTATTTTTCAACAAAAATACTAGTTTGATTTTTTTCTGTGGAAAGGTTCCTTTTTATCTCTTTCCTCATGAGTCAGTGTTAAGCAATTCATTACAGAATAGATAAACTATTTTTAGGCAAAAAAGAAGAGTCCCAGTTGAAACTGGGAATTCAAGAAACCTTGAAAGGACCTGAGGCAAAAAGGACTTATAGAGAACAAAGCTGGTCACTGGGCATACATATGTACATGTATATGAAGTCATAGGTTTTTCCACATCATGTTGATATCTATAATCTCTAGACAGAAGTGCATCTCCCCAATACTCTCCTGATGGCCCCAATTACCTCCTTGTTTCTCAGACTATAGATAAGAGGGTTCAGTACTGGAGTAATGACACTGTAAAATATAGAGAAGATGTTGTCCTGTTGAGAAGTATGGTAGGCACTGGGCTGGAGGTACATAAACATGGCAGCTCCATAGTACATTCCCACCACGGTCAGATGAGAAGAGCATGTGACGATGGCTTTCTGCTTTCCCTCACCTGAGGACATGCGGAGCACTGCAGCTAGGATGAATGTATAGGAAGCAAGGATAGCAGAGAGGGGAGAAATCAAGAAGATCACACCTGTAAGATGCAACATGAACTTATATCTAGAGGTATCAGCACAAGCCAACTTCAGCAGAGGTGGAATTTCACAGAGTAGGTGCCTGATTTCCCGGGACATGCAGAAAGGAAAGTGCATGGTGTATGAGGTGTGTATCACAGCATTTAGGAATGCCAGGATCCAGGATGTAGCTATGATGAGACAACAGATCTTTGGCCTCATGAGGATCATGTAGTTCAGAGGATGACAAATGGCTACATACCTGTCATAGGCCATGAATGCCAGTAAAAGATCCTCTGCACCTCCCGAAGTCAGGACTACTAATAACTGAAAGGTACAACCCACAAAGGAAATGGTATTCTCCCCACGCAGATAATTCATAAGTGTTTTAGGAGAAATTACAGATGCAAACAGCAAGTCCATGAGGGAGAGCTGACCAAGCAGGAGGTACATGGGCACATGGAGTTGGACATCTATTGCAATGACCAGGAGCAGCAGGCCATTGCTGGTCACGGCCAACATGTACAGGACTGTGAGTACAGCACAGAACAGTTTGGGTGACCCGCTGTCATTCAGAATCCCCATCAAGATGAAGGCACTTCCCAAGGTGGAGTTCCAGAGCTCCATGCTGTGGTTTCTTCTGTTATCTGAAATTACACAAAATCTAGATAACATAGTTCTGACATGGTTGCTGGAGACTCCTTGGCTCTATAATGTTATAGTGTTTGGCCATCAGGAATTAGGTGCTCAGTTTATCATATCCTATTATGCTATTTTATTCATGAATTAACTCACCACGCATGCATTGATCATATAGTGTTAAAACACTATATTTCTTTCCCACTTCTGATGTTTCTTTCAATAACGGGGTAGTCCCATTTGTGCAATAATTCTAGATTTGTCTCTGCCTCTTCATTCTACTTACTTCTTCTGGAAAATGAGGAGCAATTTAATCAATGGGATAAATTAAAGGTAAAATCTGGACGCATGTGGTAACCTCTTTCTCTATTCTTCTTTCTGCAGGTGTAGGGTCTTTGAGAGGGTCTGAAAAATATAATTCTTCTTCCCTACCCAAGTTTTAAACCAGTTGAGAAAAGATATTTGTGCAGTCCAAAATATCACCTCAATTTTTCATAAAGTAAAATTAAAATAGGTAGTATATATGTCAATAAACAATGAGCTTCTTAATACCAACTCCAAAAGAGACAGACTCACCTTTGAAATCACAAGCATGCAGGTCCAAATCAGTACTCCCCACAAAGAAGGACTGGTGGAACAAGGAAACAGTATAGATCAAGTATTGTCCATTGTATAGTCCAAAAAAAGAGAAAAATTTATTACTGCTAATTCTCCAATTAGATTATGATCCTCTCTTCCATCAGGAAGGAGTAGAAAGAGAATAGAAGTCAGGTGTCTTACACTGATGTTACCTAGACATGGAAGGAAATTTTGGGAAAGGAAAAGAACCATCCTCTCCCTTGCCTCTTGTGTGTCTAGCGATGTGATAGCTTTCAGGTATAATGTGATAGGATGGATCCTGTAGCATATAGGGTACTTGAGTACAATCAGTTACACTCGTGTGAGGAGCATTAAAAATAAGTGTAATTACAAATGGAGAAAAGTACTATAAAGGAAAAGGATGGCCAATTGTGCTCATGTAGATTGGTGATAAAGGAAAAGTATCTCTGGAAGTGTAAATGTTAAGGTCAGTAATGAAAGATAAACACAAATTATTCAAATGAAGTGGGGTGAAAAATGACCTGAACAGAGGACATACCTAACACAAAGCCTCTAAAATAGAAAAGAGTTTATAAGTTTGAAGAAAATGAATGAAGCCTGGTGAGGTGGGTATTTATTGAGAAAAATTTGGAGAGATAAAAATGTTCCAACTCGCTCTTGGTCTTTTGGGGCATATGGAATGCAACAGAAAGTGGTTTAATTCACATATACAAGTGTGACACTAGGCACATTATTTTTAAAAGGTTAATCCTTACAATTGCATGGAGTAGTAATAGGTAGGAGGTAGGAAAACTTAAATAGCAAGCTATGTGCAGAAATGAATGTGATTACCCAGGTGAGGTGAACCAGGGAAATAGCATGAGTATGATAGACTTAAGATACATGTTGGAAGAAGAATGTACAGTAAATGGTTATCCACTATATATATTCAATAGAAATCAAGCAGGAGAAACTAGTTTAGGAGGTAAAATACAGAGTAATTGGGAGACTTCAAAGAACTAGAAACTATGAGAATAAAAATCTATTTGCTCAGTGTGAATAGATGGAAAGGATAAGTAGAAGAAAAATAAGTAGTGACTTAATGGGAGAGATTCAGCATCAGGGACTGTCTTCACCTTCCAAATGAATGGTTGTTGATTCTTTATAATTATGTCCTTTTCACTACTGCCATTCCAGTCCTCACTCCATTTTTGTTGAAATTATTTAATAATAACTTATATCTCATGATTTGGCACCAAGCCTTATCTAAGGCATTATGAATAAAACACAAGGCAAGTGGTCAAATTACTTGGACTTAGATTATACTTTTTCCACAGATCACACGACTTTTTAATGGAGTTATTTGAATAGTTTAATGTTCAATTTTCCCACCTGTAAAATTAAAACAACACTAGCCTTATGTGACAATCTTAGTAATCTCATGAGAATTAATTAAGAAAATATATTTTTAAATTTTCAAAATTTTAAGTTCTACACAACTATCTTATATTATAGTTTTTTAAATCTTATGACTGTGGTCACATAATAGATTCTTTCTGAAATTTTATCATTATTTATTTATTTATTTTTTGAGTTGGAGTCTCATTCTGTTACCCAGGCTGGAGTACAGTGGCACACTCAAGGCCCCTTGACCTGCTGGGCTCAGGTGATCCTTCTGCCTCAGCCTTCCAAGTAGCTGGAGTTACAGGTACACGCCACCATGCATGGCTACTTTTTTTTTGATTTATTGTAGAGATGAGGTCTCACCAAGTTGCTTGGGCTGGTCTCGAACCCTTGGGTTCAGGTAATCCTCTCTTCTCGGCCTCCCAAAGTGCTGAAATTATAGGAGTGAGCAACCACGCCCTGCCATAGTAGATTCTAAATATACATGAAATATAAGCAAATGTAAAAACCAATTCATATAGATTTTTGTTCACTTTAGCCCCAAATGCTAGAATGAAAATATACTTATAGATAAGCTTTTTAAAACATATGTATTGTGAGAAGGTACTATGAATGTTCCTACCAGCTTTAATGTGGTTGGTTTTGTACTTGCCTAAGGTAAAGAAGCATTTAACTGATTTCTGGATTTTTCACAAAGGGAATTGGTTCCTTGTTGGATTAATGTCTCTGTGAGAGAGAGAGAGAGGATCTGGGGCTTCCTCTTCCTTTATCTTGCTGACATCATTCTCCACTAGGACTACTATTGATTTTGCTTTTTAGATCAGGGTTTGATATACTATGGCTCACAATACAAATCCAGCCCAACACTTGTTTTTATATATAAAGTTTGATTGGAACGTAGTTACACCCATTTGTTTACATATCGTCGATGATTGTTTTCACCTTATACAGCAGAGTTGAGTAGTTACAACAAAGACTGTAAGACTGAAAAGACTAAAATATTTATTATCAAACCCTTTACAAAAATTTTCTTCTGTCTTAGGTTATTTATCCCAACTTATTCCTTACCTCTATTCCATACTCTCAGTCTTTAATATTTTTTTATTTATTTTTTATGACCTGCAGAGACCAGTTCAATTTATCTTGGAGAAACAGGACACTTTATTGACCTACATAGTAGGCAGGAAAGGTTCTTACCTCAAACTGCTTCAAAGATAAATTTTCAAAAAATATATTTTAAGTTCTAATATTAAAATATCCTTTCCTAGCCGGGCTTGGTGGCTCAGCCTGTAATCCTGCACTTTGGGAGGCTGAGGTGAGTGGATTGCTTGAGTCCGCAGGTTTGAGACCCACCTGGGTAGTTTGGCGAGACCTCATCTCTACAATAAATCAAAAAATTAGCCAGGCGTGGTAGTGCATGCCTGCAGTTCCAGCTACTTGGAAGGCTGAGGTGGAAGGATCGCCGGAGCCCAGCAAGTTGAGGTCGCGGTGGCCGGGAGCATGCCACTGCACTCCAGTTTGGGCGACAGAGTGAGACTCTAACTCAAAAAAAAAAAAGGCCGG